GAGGCGTAAAGCTGCCGTGCCTTTGGAGCAGAGGTTCAGCTACCATATAAGTGACTGACAAAATGTGAGTACCGGGCTAACTTTCCTGTTTTGATGACGTTGATATTATTTTCTTCAATAGGAGCAAGGTTAACCTGTTTTTGTAGAATTTTTTTTTTTGAGTTTTTGAACACCTGATTGCTTCTGCCCTCTGTGGCTGATATGAATTTGCGAAGCAGCTAGTGAGGGGAAGCAGACCAAAGTTTTGTATTTTCTGTTTTCTTATTTCACTTTTAGAGTAAGAAGTCTTTTCTTTTTATACACCACACGGCAGTGATCAGGAGGACTTCAGACAGGGCAAGTTTAAATTTTTTTGGTCACCTATCTTTGTCCCATGGGCTGAATGAACTGCAGACTTCCAACAACGTTGTTCAAGAATCACAATTGCAGCTGAACAGAACTACTGGCCATTAACATTGTATCAATATATATATTGATCTTAGCAGTCTCTTTGATTTTTCACAATAAAGTTTACAAAAACTACTGGTTGTTTAATGGTTGTTTTTTACCCACAAAACCTCTATGCATGGACAGCCAGCATGTCTATAAAACATGTACATCAACTAATAATTATTTTCATATCAGTATTTTTTGATCAAGTCTAAAAAAGATAACCGTTTACATTGATAATTAAACAGAAAATCAGCTAATCCTAAAATGTGAGAGCAAATATTTGGAATTATTTTTGTTTCAAAACTGGAATGAATGTCTCAGAAATTTGAGGTCCTGTGTGGTGAAATACAGTCAAAATGAAGTTATGGAAGTATTTAAATGTTTCCTCATTTTAGGACCAAAAATTTTCATTCTGACAAAGATACTTTAATTCTCAATTTTTCAGAGCTGACCTTTGGTCTTACTTTCACTCTTGACTAATGAAGGCAACAAAGTACCATTTATCGTAAGTGCTAATATCGTAGGCAACTGGACTGCTGCTAATATCCTACGATATTAGCACTTAACGATTACCATGACCTGGATGACTGAGAATCTTCACCGACAAAGTACCATTTAGTTTTCCATTAGTTTTAGCTTAAATGTGTTACAAATGTGATCACCACACACTAGTGCAGTGGTCCCCAACTGGTGGGTGGTGGTCCATTGTGAATGGACCGCAAGTGACTTGCAAACGTGTCAAAAGAAAAAAGAACAACACACACTTTATTTTGAAGGACGGCAAATTTCCAGCACAGAGCTTTTATTTTGAAGTGGCGTTACCTGCTGTAGAGTGAGTAACTTATCTGCTGTAGAGTGAGTAACTAATGGAAAGCTACTTGATCGATGGTGATTCCCAAAGTTGAGGAAGAATCCTTAAAGGAGGCTACGCCATTGAATCCAGTGTCAAGGATCCTTCGAGTTCTGCTAAGGAGCAAGTCCTTCCTTCAGAGAATTTTCAAGGACACGTGTGTATCCTCAGCGGGCATAAAGTACCCACAATTCTTTGTGCATGATTTGCTGGAATTGAAGGCGGGGCCTCTTCAGTCCCCTGGGCACCTGGGCACTCACTAGCCTGTTCCAATGTGTGTTCACTGAATGCTGGGAAGGAGTTTTGCCTCGCCTCTTTAAGACCCAACTTGGAAGGACTGTCCTACCAAGGAAGCATCCTTGACTTTGAGAAGCAACAAGAGACATCAAACTAGCTTGACAACATGGCCAAACACAAGTAGGACACTGAGGGTATTACACTGTGTGGACCTTGAACTGATGACTATGGAGAAATGTGGGCCTTGTGGCTGGACCAGTTGGGAACCACTGTATTAGTGTTTTTCTGATGCTATGTGCTCGTGTATCTGTCCTGTGTGACCTAGCTTTCACTGCTCATGTCTGAATTAGTAAGTAGATCACAGAAATGGGGCAGGGAAGCTGGGGTGTACTGTTTCAAAGCAAGGAGGAGGATGCAAGTCTCTTTCCCACAGTGTAATAATAGGAATTGTATGATCTCATGTTATTACTGAAGCATCTGGCCCAGGGTGTAGGTATACACATTAAGCGGTGGCGTCTGGGGGTCCCCCAAGAAAATTTGAGCGTCGGATACTTAACATCCTACATTACCAATGTATGCCTTTTCTGCTAAAATATATGGTAAAGATACCATTGTACTTCCTGCTTCAATCATACATAGTTGCTGCTTTTTCTTTTCCATTTCATCGGAATTGCAACCGCTGCTTTTGTGATTGCATACTGCCACCACCTATCTAACATGAGGCATTGTTACGGGATGTTTCTACAGGGACCCATCATTCCCACGCCTCCCATTCACTGTCTATGTGAGCAGCTGTGCAATGCATGCTGGTAGTACTGCATGGCATTTTGAGAGACGGGGTGTCTGTTCCTCATCTGCATACATTGAATCTAGGCTACTTTATGCAAATCAGGGGCGTCCGACACGACTCAGAGTCTCTGGATGCTCCTGAAAAACTTTTAAACTAACCATTGTCGGTCTAAAATGAAGACTGATTCAGCATCTGCATGGCTTATTTCTTGCCTCAAATATTTCTAGAAACATTTTGGAGAATTATGTTTGTAATATAACAAAGTTGCCAAACGAGCCGCCATCTTGGTCCAGTTTGAAATCCGGCAGCAGGCAGCCCACATATCTAGTTGCATGCCCATCAAGCATCCAATTCTGGTAAGTGTTTCGACTCCTCGCATCTTAAACGCCCCTGTGGACACATACCCATATGTCTATGGGTGCCATCAAAAATAGTCACTCCAAGTGCCAAAGTAAACTCTGGCACGTATGGGACCGTTTGTAAATTTAGAGAGTTGTTGGAATGTACTGTTCGTTATTCAGAGCACCACATTATCAGAGTAGCAGAGTGCACTGTTTGGGGAGACAGAGCAGCAGAGCACCAAGCTGAGCGAATGTGTGATGAACTTAACCGTTTCACATGTTCATGTAATTCATGTAGAAAAATGACACTGTTTTCCTGAACAACAGCTCTCTCATTTTATTGTAGAGAACTATGACTCGCATTCTAGCAGTTCGGCAAAATGAAATAAAAGTCTTCTTTAAAAGTCCGCTACTTTAATGTTTTTTAGTTGCAGAAACAAATGCACTTGTTCTTAAAAGGGAACATCACCCATTTTTAAAATTCATACACTATTTGTATGGTCTAAAACAGTTAAAAAATATTAGTAAAAATCAACAACTGTGTCTCAAATCCAAAAGCTTGAGTGCTAAAACTCAAATTTGTGATGTCATAGAGTAGAAAGTCGAGAGCTACTTCATTGACAGTGAATTGGGAAAAATTTTACAGATGACATGAGTATATGGGTACATTTTCTGTTTCAGAATTGAGAACACTACAATAGAATGAAGGTCATCTGTCTATAAAATAGAAAACAAATATTTTGTGGGTCCATAAAATCAGGTACCATTTAGGTACCATTTCTAAAGGGTTACTTCTGGTTCCAAAGGTACCATACCAAAAGTGTTTGGGGGAAACGGGGCTTATGACATCTCAAGTTTGAGACTTAGGGGCTGTACACAAGCCGGGTCTTTAACCACCTGGAAAACACGAGTTCAGGTGCTTGGCACTACTTTTGTGCCTTTTTTTTAGCCAGAGTGCAGCGACAACTTGCCTCTGAGGTTGCTAGGCAACCTTAACAAGCACCCTATCATAGCCTGTTAACCTGAAATCCTGAGTGCAGAGCTGATCTTCTTCCAGGCGTTGTTTGTAAGTCTGTTGGTATATCGTCCATGGGACAGATGCAAAGCTGACAGCCCTGCACCAAAATGATCAACTTTCCAGTATTCGTTACAGAAAAATATCTGCTGTGATTGTTTTTTCCTCGTCACATGATATGCGGTGCACACTGCTGTGTTCCAAAAGTTGAACTCAGTTCTCAAAGCGCAGCCGTCGGGCCCTGAAAAATTGGCGCTCGGGAACATGTACGTGCCGCGACAGTGTCACTCTGCCTTTTGAGTGTGCCGGTCAGGCACACTCAAAAGGCAGACATTGAAAATAATGAATATGAGGGCGCAAAAAGTGCAGCATGTCTCTGGTTTCTGGTTTTGAGAGAGAGTAAGGCATTTTAGCAGCAGGGGGCGCCTTTTTGTAACTGATTTTAATGAGAATGAAGCTTTTTGCTCACGGTTTTTGGGTTGCAACGTGCCTCGCGTCTTTGCCGGAGCGCTCTGAACTCAACTCAGCAGAAAAATGCCTCATGCCATCTCCGCCTTTTCCCCATTGTTCAATTGGTTAATGAGAGAGGCGGGGCTTCTGTGGTGGTCACAACAACAAGTTTACAGCTAGCAAACAATGGAGCAGAAACTGGTGGTAGCAGTTGCTGGATAACCAGAGCTATACAGCCTGAGGGTCGACAGCAGGTTGTTGAACTGCCTCCGAGTCATCCTAGAATATGCCTGGAGACGGCCATCATCGAGGGGAAGCTCCTGGACCAACTGGTGGTACTCCCCGTTATCCACCCTCTTTTTTAGGGTCTCATGTACCCACACAGATCTCTGTTTCCTTGCGCCCGACAAACTAACTTACAGCCTCTCACCGTCAACCAGAGCTCCAGCAAGGACCCTCTGCCTGAACATTTACGGGACGAGATAAAAATTACTGTCAAATAAATAAGCAGTATATTGATTACACAGGAATATTAGGAGGTGATGGGGTGGTTGCCTGGCCTTGTTTTTTACTAGTGGCATTTGATTTTAAAAAAGAAAAAAAAAAAGCAGATTAGGGCCTAGCTTGTGCTCGCAAATACTGATTGAACTTGCTTTGGCCATGGAAATAACATTGGAATTCCTAATTTAGGTGTTGTTCCCCTTTAACATTGAGGGGGACGTGGCCCCTGAATCCCCCCCAAATGTGCACCTGTGCATCTGACTCCTTTTATTATTGCCACCACTTAACTGAGCTGATTGGATCATGTTTACAGTGCCCAGGATAGGAGGAGCAATGTGATGCACTTTTTTTTTTTTTAAACTTAAAGTGAGACATTTCACAGCGGGGGCCTGGCCCTTTAAGAGCCAGTCTTTCCAGCAGTGGTTGGAGCAGAGCAGAGCAGAGCAGAGCAGCTTGGATCCAGAGACTGCAGCACATCCTCAGCTGCTCTCAGCCCACCTGACAGCACAGCAGAGCGGACAGGCAGCAGCCGCCAGCCTCCCGGTTCACATCACTACTCACCGCGTCCTGGAGGGGAATGGGGGGCACCTAGCCCGCTAGCTGACTAACTAGATTTCTCTAGAAGCGGAGACGGCTCCCGGCCGGCGGTCCAAGAAAGATGGTATCGTGGATGATTTCGAGGATGGTTGTGTGAGTATGGGCTGGGCTGTTGTGTTTAAACGTTAGCCACATCGGCGGGTCCTCCATTCATCAGCTGTCTGATGCTGAGCGCCGCGCCAACTAGCTAGCATCCATTTTCTGTCCGTATATTGACATACACGTTTTAGTCATGTAGAAAAATACTGTGGCTGAGCCTTTAATAAAACACCGAGCTAAGCGAGTGTCGACACCAACCGTTGCTCTGTGTCTTCAATGAACACAGTGATGCAGTACAATCATGCTAGCCGCTGGTAGCTAACGTATGCTGGCTAGCCAGTAACCACCTGACAGATAATGTGTTGGCAGGGAAATGAGCTGTTAGCTGGCCACAGCATTCAAGAGAAAACCTGCTTAATATGCCAGCCTCGCTGCAGACTAGTAAACAGATTGCCTGCCATGGCTTTTTAAAACACCACAGCCTGATTATTGCTGGTCTGGAGGCTGAGCATCACAGCACCATATGGGAGCATGAGTTAGTAAAATGTGGGTCTGTGCATCCATCCATCCTTGATCACACCTATGTTCAGGACCTGGCCAGATAACTGTGTATGTTTTCGTTATTTGAACATGTTTGAGCGACTTTACAGATTTATATTTCTTGCTGTGATGAGTGGAGCAGGCCTGGACTTCCACCTGTACACACACCACATCCAGACAGTGTGGATGACTCAACTAAAGCCAGCAGCTGCCATCATCCTTATCCCTTATGCAGACATTTTTACAATGCTGCAATAGTGTCATCTTGTAAGCGATGTGGTTTTAATCAGGATATTGTGCCGTCTGACCACTCTGATACTGTCAGTTTCTTGTGGATTTAACCAGGCTGTATGTAAGCTTGGTGTTGCAATCCCCAACTGTAACTCTGATGGTGGCTGCTAAAGGCCCAGGTGTAGAAATGTCATAGGTGTTTCATGGCTATAAATATTCTGCTTGTCTGTATTACATAAGGAAAGGATAACATTGGCAAACTGTTACTTTTAGTGGCTTCCAGCTGGCTCTTCCACTTCACTGCACCTCAGATAGTCATGCGTCGATGGGAGACAAACAATGTGACTGGATATGCATCATAATGGCTGCTGCACATCAAACACGAGATCAATCATTTTCCATCTTTACTCTGTGCTTCAAACATGCAGCTGCCTTTTTGTTTTGCTCTTTGAAAATGTAGTCAGTGTTTTAATGACACGTCCTAACACAGGTGACTAAGCAGCGCTAATCCCTGACGCTGAGTATCTCTGATCTTGGAGCCCAGCAAGAGGATGGGATGCCCTCAGACTCTGTGAAGTGAACCTGAGATGGGACACAAAGAGGCACAGGGCATCTGCTGAGGGTGTCTGCTGGCCTAGAGGCCTGCTTTTGAGTCTCCTCAGCTTACTGTACAAAGCTGGGAGGCGCTGCACACATGACTGAGCAGCTCAGACACACACAAGGACAGAAGACCTGCTTTGATGCTGAGAAAAACTGTAGATATGCAGCTGGGAGCCTCACAGGGATACTCTGTGTTAAAAACATCCAATCCTCAGCTTAAATGAAGTATTATAAGTCAGAATCTGTGGTTTAGACTGTAAGCCTACAGCCAAACTAGTGCCTTTCTGAACTCTATTCTCCCTGCTGTCCCCTCACTCAGCATTTAACATCCTGTCACATCAGCACAAATCACCACAGTGGCACAGGACGCGACCAAATGCACATCAAAAACACGGCTCTGTGTGCACAGTGTCCCAATTTGCACATGGACTAACACATGGTGACCCACCCCTGGCACGCTTTTGTGTGTTTTTCCATTTTGTCTCGCTACAGTCTTCCTGACTCCATGATCTCCATTATACTTTTGCACAGATAATCAGAGCAATATGTTTTGAAAAGCCACTGCCCATCAGCACTCACATCAAAACCACCCAGAGACTGGCTCTGCTGAAGTAATACAGAAAGATACTTGTGTTTACATAAGCACAGAGCAAACATGGCTAACGTGCTTTTTAAGCTGGAACACATTTGTTAGGTGTCAGAGTCAACACCCAGAGGCCACGTTCTCAAGCTGAATCCCCCTCCTCTGACTCGCGCTTCTCTGCTCCTCTGCTCCTTTTTGCAGCCTTGCCTTTGGGACGCTCTACCCAGCATACTCCTCGTACAAGGCTGTCAAAACGAAGAATGTGAAGGAATATGTGAGTATCACCTCTGGTCACTAAATCACAGCAGACCATTTTTGACCCCTGTCCGCTCTCTTTGACTTTAAGGATGTTTTGCCCCGGGCTGCTGTTTGCTATTTTTATGCTAAATGTTTGAAGTTTAAAATTCACATTGTGAGGAATGTAATACAAAGCCCAACGATGGAATTTAGGCCTGGCCTACATACATATAACTATACACACATTAATCACCTGGATTAACATCTGTTCTGATGTTGGGCACACTGACTATTCTGTCACTCAAAGACTGATAATCAAAATATCAAGCATGTTTGATAACAGTCTCACGGACAAGCATATCAGCTACCAGGGACACACCAACCTTCATGAAACTGGGTCACTGACTGAGGCACCGTAATGACTCAAAGACAAATGCCTCCATAGCTCTCTCCTAATTCCTCTTTTACATGGATTGACGTGTCCATGTGGAATAAAAGCTGAACTGGGAACATGACGGTTGTGTGCGGGTATTCTTTCATCTGTTTGAGCAGATCATTTTTATCCAACGCTTGCAAAGAATACATGAATGTGCACGCACCTCTTAATTATTACATAACAGCCTGCCACGCTGCAGATTGTGAATACCCGTCTGCATCATCTAGTGCAGTTGTTGCCAATCTAGGGGTTGCAGAATAAATGTGATGGGTCTCAAGAGGATTAAACGGATAGGGAAGAATGAAAAAAAACCTAATTTCTCCGTGACAAAATTTTGTTTATATTTCTGACTTTAATAAATCAGTAAAACATAAACCTTATGGTAAGAGGACACAAGCTAGTGCGGTTGGGAACCACTGCTCTGTGAGGCCTTTTGGCTCAGACTAACAACCATAGCATGTTAAGTGCATGAAACATCCCTATCCCTTGATACCAAAATGATTCATAGTTCTAATATGCATTCCCTTGTAGTCATAACGTCCTGTAGTGCATGCCAGTTTCCTCTCAGTTCACTGATGATATTTTCCACACATTGCATGTTTGAGTATTGGAAACATTACCCCTGAGTTTTTAGAAACATTTGGGATGTGGCAGCATTGTAAATAAATCAGAGAGAATATTTTTACGTACAGGGTTCCAACAGATGCTTGAAATCCTTGAAAGTTTGTGATTTTGAGGGAAAAAATTAGGCATTTTTGAAAATAGACATGCGTTGACATGGGTCATTAAAAGTGCTGGAATTTATATACTTTTTTGCAAGAACAGATATTGAAGCTGTTTTGATATATTTTTAAGTGTAACTTTAAAAGCCCAGACGCACCAAACTGACATCAAAGAACTAACTGGTGTCTGTGGATATTCTCGTTTATCCAGGTCATAGTTATCTCAAGGCAATTTTCCACACTAGTTTGTCAGACTAGTTCCAGCCTAGTCAGACAAGCATGAACTGATGACTCCTCTTGGACAAGAGGCGAAACGTCTTCTAAGACATGTCCAGTTATGTTCGATTCAGTTGCCTTGAGACAAAGAGCTAGCGGTGATGATGAAAGCTGTTGTCTCACCTCACGTCGCCTGTGTCTTGGCCAAAAACTTGCACTTGAACACACCGCAAAGACTGCAGCCAATGGCCAGTTACGTACTGCACCAGCATGAGAGGAAGTGACACTCCATACCAACAGGCGGCAGTCATCTGCATTTGTCATTCAACATGCTGAATCAGCTGAAAAAAAGCCAACAAGGGCCAACTAGTGAGGGCTGTGGGACACAATGAGGACGACAGACGCTCACTGACAGCCCGACATTGACAGACTGAATGATTGTCAGCTTGGTGTGTCGGGGCCCTAAAAGTAAATTGTTGTAAATTGGCTCTTTGTAGTTGCTGTCTGTGAGCATCTGTGAAGCCTGTTAGTTCTTATTTAAGTCTCAGTGTTGTGACAGTAATAAACCCTGATCTGTGTCTCCAACTATGTCATGTTGGGTCCTTGAATTTGAGGGAGCTGGGCCTGGAAAGCCCTTGAAAATTACTTGAATTTGATGTTTGAGATGCGTGTGAACCCTGCAAGTAACAAAACCAGGGTTACCAGGATAAAAAGCAGAAGAGTTTTTTTTAATTATATATTTTATTTTTAAGTAAACGGGGTCCTCCCTGCTTACCTCATCACTGCAAGGGATGAGAGAGGGAGGTCCAGGAGGCGGAGGAGGAGGAGGAGGAGGAGGAGGAGGAGATGGCAGCAACCTGGCCCTCTGCCTAGATTTGCACTGGAGAACAGTCTCCTCTTGGCAGGTTACCATGGCAACCCCCTCCCCAGTCGCTACTCAAGCAGACGGCCACAGAAGGAGCGCACGAGGGATGGGGGGAAGAGGGAGAGAGAGTGGAGGACGCCATTTTTAGAGCTGATGTTTTCATTCCCCTTTCCTCTTGTTTGGCTCGTTTCTAATGAGTCACATTATTCATCATGATGTGGCTGCATGCCTGTGACCTGCCACTGCCTTAAAAACACACGCTGTTAACATGCAGTGCCTTCCTCTAATTTTTAAACGTTTAATATACCAAGATGTTTGACTATTGATAATGTATGCCCACTAAATCTATGGTGTTGTTTTCAAAGCTAGCTTCCCTTCACAGTACCTAGTCTAAAGCATTTCATGTAGTTAAGTGGTTGCCCTACATTCCCTTTGTCTCCGGGACATTGACCATGCATACTGATGCAATCTGACAGGACTACCACATATGTTGCACTTCTGCATTGGCATGTCTTTGGCAGCTCCATGTGTCTCAGCACGTGCACACTGGGTACTCTGGTTCTCATGTGCTATTTTTGTGATGTTCTCTACACTCACCTGTGTGTGTGTGTGTGTGTGTGTGTGTGTGTGTGTGTGTGTGTGTGTGTGTCCAGGTGAAGTGGATGATGTACTGGATAGTGTTTGCGTTGTTCACCACAGCAGAGACAGCCACAGATCTGCTCCTATCATGGTGAGTCAGGAGCTGCTCATGATCTGGACCCCTCAAGCCTGACTAGATTGTAATAAATAAGCTTATATAATATCAATAGACAGTCACGTGTGTATCTTGTGCTAAGTGTTCTTGATATTTTTAGTACAATGAAGCTTATTGAAATATCTTTTTCTTTTTTTTTTTTGCTTAAAAAAAAAAAGTGCAACTCACACAGTTATTCAGCCTTGTTATGTATCAGACCAGTATTTTACTCCCTCTGACTGTGTCTTTCTCTTTACACTCAGGTGTCTGCACCTTTTTAAAAGCGTTCTGTGTTTTCTTTTCCTCTCTGCCGATGGTCTAACCTTGTGTTTCATTTACCCAGGTTTCCATTTTACTTTGAGCTGAAGATTGCATTTGTGATCTGGCTCTTGTCCCCATACACCAAGGGCTCAAGTGTCCTCTACCGCAAGTTTGTCCACCCAACGCTGTCCAACAAAGAGAAGGTAGGAACATGACTGACAAAAATCTTTAAAGGGACATTTCACCCCAAAATCAAAAATGCATTTTCATTTATCAGTCCAGATTGTTTTGGTGCGGGCGATATCGGTGGTAAAGATGTTGTCTGCCTTCTCTCGTGTCGCATATAATGAAGCTAGATGGCACTCAGCTTCAGTCAGAAATCATGACCCACTTACCCAGGATGAATATTTCCTTCGAAAAAAAGACAGTGGGCCTCATTCACAAACAGTGCGTACTCACAAGTCTGTGCTTAAACCGTGCATAAGAACATTTTATGCACAAATCTGGAATTCTTACCTTACTTTGCTCGTACTCTGAAGAAATTTAGAACTGCCTCAGAGAAGGTGAGCACACAAATGATGAAGGCTCAGCTGTATTAGGAAAAAGTAAACACACCTGTGTGTCACCCGGTGCATCATTGAAGGCCACAGTGGCTTTGTCACATGATGTAGGCAGACAAAACGACGCTGCTTCGCCCTGTGGAACATTTGCATGTAAAAAACACCCAGATGGAACTGTTGATAGGAGCACTGTTCTTTGCAATGTCCGCAGTAAGGAATTTTCGTACCATCGGATTACTTCAAGCCTGAAATATCACCTCAATGCACAGAATTTAGCAGTGAACCCGGAGGTCTGAGCTGCGGATGCTCTGATGATAGCGCTAGCAGCCAGCCTCGTCAATCCACACTCGACCAGCCGTTCAGACACAAACTGAATGAGCCTACCTGTGACGACTGACTAACTCCCTTGCAAAACGGATTGCAATGGACTGCAGACCAGTTTTGGTGGTGGAGGACAGGGGGACAATTGTGTCCAAAATTCAGCAGCTTCACTACGACACATCTGCCAAAATTAATTTGACAATTTTGAAATACTTTCACAGCAAAAGTTGATGTCTGTGATTCATTTAAATGAATAAATTTCAGAGCATGTAATCAATTTGAATTATTTTTTTAATCACTTGACAGCCCTTTTTAAGACATCAATTTACTAATGTGTGCACTTATTTGCTAGCCTTTTAATTATTGTCATAATGACCTGACTTCAGGTGAGGGTGTATTTTCAGAGACATGTTTTAAGCAGTGAGTGATGAATGGTTGTTTCTGACTGCCAAAACATTCAAAGACACTCACTGATGGTGTGTTGAAACAATTTCACTGCTTTTTCCATGTTACACTTCCAAGCATACATATTTCCTTGTATAGAGAAATGGGGGTGTAGCAGTATGCTGATTGCAAATAGTGGGCACGTGCTTGTCAGTGTAGAATGAAAACCAGAAACCACCTGGTGAGCTGTTGTCATGAATCCAACTGAAATTTTTGAGTATGAACATTTCTATGCACATATTAGACACTTAGGCCCAAATCAAATGTATTTTTTTGGCGCTTACATCACCACAAGCTGAGTGCCATCTAGTTCCATTATATTTGAGAGAAGGCAGACATCTCTGGCCCATATCTCCAAAACAGAACAATCTAGATTTACAAATGGCGCTACAGGTAAGAGGAAAAATATGTATGTTTGATTTTGGAGTGAACCGTCCCTTTAAGTTTGTTTCACAAATATACACACATGGAAATATCTGGATTTTTCTTTTCCTCCCTCTACCGATTGCTTCCATCCTTGTCTCCCCCTTCAACTGTCGTCTTGTGCTATAGGAGATTGATGAGTACATCGCGCAGGCCAAAGACAGGAGTTATGAGACCATGATGAGATTTGGAAAGAGGGGTCTCAACCTGGCTGCTAATGCTGCTGTCACTGCAGCCACCAAGGTGAGCTGTGTGCTAACGTAGCCAAATTAATGGATGCATATTTTCATTAAGGCTTAACATCTGTAGTATCTTCTTTTAAGATGGTGTTACAAGTGTCCTCTGACTTGTTGCTTCTTCCTTTTATCCAGATCTGTACAGATTGTATTTGAATCTAACTGAGATGCAGTTTACCACCAGTGTTAGAGTGTGCTTTGAATAGAAGAGACTTAAAAACTTTGTCTGAGTTGAAAAATGACTTCTGTCCTCTGGGACACTTGCTATGCTATACACACTACAACAGTAATAAGGAGGTCCTACAGTTTACTCAAAGATGCCTTGAATCAGTTGTATAGTTGAGACCAGGGGTGTCAAACTCATTTTAGTTCTGGGGCCACATAAAGCCCAATTTGATGACAAGTGGGTCGGACCTGTGAAACAATCAACCATCGCATGATAACTAGACATATACAACCATCAGCCAAAACATTAAAACTACTGGGGGATGAAGTGAATAACATTGATTGTCTTATTACAATGCAAAGCTCTGCTGGGAAACCTTTGGTCCTGGCATTCATGTGGATGCTATTTGACACGCTCCACCCACCTGAACACCATTGCAGACAAAATAAACCCCCTCATGGCAACAGCACTTATCGATGGCGGTGGCCCCCCAGCAGGACAATTCACCCTGCCACATCACAAAAACTGCTCAGGCAGGACCAGAGGAACAAGACAAAGACCTGAAGGCGTCGACCTGACCTCCAAATACCCCTGATCCCAGTCTGATCCAACATTTGAGGGACGTGCCGGTACCCCAGAGGCACCCCCACCCACGGTGGGTCCTCCTTGGACAGGACTTGGTTCTGACCTGTTAAGGCATGGACACAGGACGTCTGGAGGGTGTCCCTTGGTGTTGTGGGGTGTGAGGTGGGGTACCAGCACGTCCCACAGATGTTTGATCAGATGGGGATCAGGGGAATTTGGAGGCCAGGTTGATGCCTTGAGCTCTTGGTCACGTTCCTCGGACCATTCCTGAGCGGTTTTTGTGGTGTGGCATGGTGCATTGTCCTGCTGGGGGGCCACTGCTACTGGGGAGTGCAGTTGCTATAAGGGGGGGGTACTTGGTCTCCACTGGTGTTTAGGTGGGTGGAGCGTGTCGGGTGGCAACCACATGAACGTCAGAATCAAAGGTTTCCCAACAGCATTGCAGTGTAACAAGATGATAAGTGTTGTTCACTTTACCTGTCAGTGGTTTTAATATTTTGGCTGATGTAAATATGTATGTCAGTGTATAGATGCACTACAGTTGTAGCATTAGCTGATGTGACCATGGAGATAAGAATGACCGCCAGAATTTAAAAAATATATATTTGAATGGCCTGTTCTTCTCAGACGTGAGCGATACAGAGGTGAGGGTTAGATATCGTCATGCTGTCACATATCTGACGTGTCTGTTTGGTTTTGCTGGGGCGCCCAGGGGCAGGGCGTGTTGTCAGACAAGCTGCGGAGTTTCAGCATGCAGGACCTGACTCTCATCAACGCTGAGGATGAGCTGGCTCTACACACTTCAGAGTCCCGCATGAGACGGGAACCCATGGACGAGATGAGCTCAGGGGCCAGCACGCTACCCCGGGCCAAGAGCACGGCTGCACGGCTGAGTAAGGCCACGAGACACGCACAACCCACACCGCTTCATTAGCAGCTTCACATACATTTGCATGAATACATAAACCCTTTGTGTCCAGTTCGCTGATTGGGCCGCAGTGCCACTCAGAGGACTCCCTTTGTTTAACTTTTACCAGAGCAGGACCGGAGCTAGTCGGGCCAAGTGGAGTCATATGATTTAAAGCACTGCAGGATGGCAGGGGAGAGGAGATGCAAAGGGGTGTGGAGTAGGGGGAGGGGGGGGGGGAGAAAGCATGTGATTCCAGTGGGAGGGGAAACTTGGAAGGAGGACTCTTTGTGTCTCACTACACTGCCGGCTGGCTGGCTGTGTGGGCCTGACGAGTTGTGAACTGAATACAGAGAGACACAGAGGCAATGAAACAATGAACGAACAGGGCGAAGTGGCCTATTTTAATTTATACTTAAAAAGAAACCATGTGGAACTTGAAAACCCAGTCTGAAAGAAGGATGGAGCAACACAGTGAAGTGAAAGAGTAGACAGCCAGAGTTTAAATAAATCTTAAGGGTGGTTTGTGCGTGGATGTACCTTAATAACCCACTGTGAACAACACAGTATGTACTGACATGAATCCAAGTTTAGAGGTCCTCTTACTAATGATTCAGAGCTTTCAGTCAAATCTCACATCTTTATTTAATGAATGAAGAAGACTGATTAGTTTAAAGTAACTATTTAATCTTAATACAAAGCCTCCACGCTATTAAAGGATTACTTTTTCAACAAGCTTTGTATCATAACAGTGAGGGTAATATGTGTAAATGAACTGTGGGAAGCTATGAAAAGATCATCTTTCCGGCAGTGAAACACACGGCTCAAAAAAATTAGGGGAACGGTGCTGGGAGACACAGCAAACCTTCTTGTGTATGGATGTGCCATCCTGGAGGAGCTGGACTACCTGTGCAACCTGACTGGGCTGCAGGTACCGCCTCATGCTACCAGTAGTGACAAGGACACTAGCAGAGCACAAAACTAGAGAAGAATCAGTCAGGAGGGAGAAGGAGAGAGCAACTGTCTGTGGCCACCACATGTGAAACCATTCCCTTTTTGGAGGTTGACTTGCTTTTGCCTCTCCATTGCTCCTGTTGTCACTTTTATTTGCACCAAAGCAGCTGAAACTGATTCACAATCACTTGTGCTTCCTAAATGGACAGATTGATATCCCTGAAGTTTAACTGATGTGGTGTTACACTGTGACGATGACGATTAAGTGTTCCCTTTATTTGTTTGAGCAGTGTACTTCTTTATGTTAAAGGGAAAAAAAATATTTTCCATCTCTAAAAAGAACAAATTGGTTGATGCTACACTCCTTTACATGACGTGAGCAGACTCAAACACGTCTAAATTTGCTGTGTCTCCCGTTTATGGGTGTGTATCCCCACATAGCTCAGGTGAGGTCAGGGCTTTATAAGAAGGTAGCAACCAGCTGCCAGGCCGTGCGCAGCAGCCCTCCAAGAGACAGCGCTGAAGAAAAACAAATACGTGAAATGCTAAAAGAGTGAATCTGGGGTTGGCTTTTACTTTCACTTACGCTGGTGAGCTCATTTACAAACAGTAAGAGACAATCCTGCATAGTGTACCTTAAGTCAACGATCAAGCAAAAGTGCCAAACAATTGTTAGGGTGTGTGAATTCTGCAGCGTTACATGATTGTCAACCTAATGTCTGGATTTTGAATCAGACAAAGCTGTTTAAGACCTCAGCTTAGTCTCTGAATTAACAGGACTATCATGATTAACATTTTACTAATATTTTTTGGCAATTCATGGACCAAAACATTAATTAAAAAAAAACAATATCAACAAATTAATCGATAAAGGGCCAGTTGCAGTCTTGCGTGAGCTGCTCTTAAAGCCACCATGGGGATTTTTCTTGTAAACAACAAACAAAACTCAACATACTGTGCGTTCCAGTACCCATACTACCATACTTTGCCAGAATGCAGATGCCAGAAAAAATATTTGGTGTGTCCCAACGCCAAAAATACCAGGATGTTCTACTGCATCCGGTCTGATTTTGCAGTATGCAAGCCAGCATGCTTTTCTGGCTGTTCTGACCCACAATCCTCTGCACAGTGAATGATGCATCACATCGACTGAGCCGCAAACAGATGACAGTCTCAATGATATATGACAGCGCATTTAGGTGACTGATGACCAGTCGATTAGTAATAAAGGGAATTTTGATTAAGTGAATAAGATATATAAACAACAAAAGGGTATAAGTATTAAATAACAATGACAGAGAAATATATAACCTCTGTGATTAAAATCTACTCTGCAAAGTAACATTGTCAGAGCTGTCCGGGTTGATGTCCGTCTCTGGTGAGCTCGGTGAACGGCATTTAGTTTTATCTCCATGGTAATGGATATATGAGTACGAGTGTCAAAGTTCAGGGCGCAACATCATGATTGTGTGCATACTACAGTGCATGTTTTTTAAAGGCAGCAGCAGCAGTGCCAATTAAAAGTAAAAAGTACGCGATTCGGAACGTACCCATAGTATCTTGAAGGCTGAATCCAAATGTCTAAACTTCACCACACTTGCAGACTCGCGGACTTTGCGGGCTTGTTCTTATGAATGTGTAAAATAGTTATTGATAGTGAGGCCTATTAAAATGTTACTTGAATTGTGTAGGGCCGAAATAATATTCAACCACATCATGATACAGAGAGATGTACAGTCAGGTCCGTAATTATTTGGACAATGATACAGTTGTCGTCATTTTGGCACTGTACACCACCACAATGGGTTTTAAATGAAACAATGAATACCTGCTTAAAGTGCAGACTCTCAGCTTTCATTTAAGGCTTTTTTCAAAAATGTAGTATGAACCGTGTAGGAATTACAACCATTTCTTCACACAGTCCCCCGACTTTAAGGGCTCATAAGTATTTGGACAAACTAACAAAATCATCAATTAAACAGTCAGTTTTAATACTTGGTTGCAAATCCTTTACAGTCAATGACTGCCTCAAGTGTTGGACACATAGGCATCATCAGATGCTGGGTTTCTTCCCTGGTGATGCTCTGCCAGCCCTTTACTGCAGCCGTCTGCACTTCCTGCTTGTGTTTTGGGTGATTTGCCCTCAGTTTTGGCTTCAGCAAGAGAAACGCATGCTCAATTGGATTCAGGTCAGATGATATGACTTGGCCATTGCAGAACATTCCACTTCTTTGCCTTAAAAATGTCTTTGGTTGCTTTTGCAGTATGCTTCAGGTCATTGTCCAACTGCACTGTGAAGCATCGTCCAATGAGTTTTGAAGCATTTGGTTGAATCTGAGCAGATAATGGTGCCCCAAACACTTCAGCTTTCATCCTGCTGCTCTTGTCAGCAGTCACATCATCAATAAATACAAGAGAACCAGTTCCACTGGCAGCCATACATGGCCATGACATAACAGTACCTCCACCATGCTTCACTGATGAGGTGGTGTGTTTTGGATCATGAGCAGTTCCTTCCCTTCTTCCTTCTCTTGTCTTCCCATCATTCTGGTAGTTGATCTTTGTTTTATCTGTCCATAGTATGCTGTTCCACAACTGTACAGGCTTTTTAGATGGTTTTTGACAAACTCTAATCTGGCCTTCCATTTTTAAGGCTAACCAATGGTTTGCATCTTGTGATAAACCCTCTGTATTTATTCTAGTGAAGTCTTGTCTTGCTGACAAGAGCAGCAGGATGAAAGCTGAAGTGTTTGGGGCACCATTATCTGCTCAGATTCAACCAAATGCTTCAAAACTCATTGGACGATGCTTCACAGTGCAGTTGGACAATGACCTGAAGCATACTGCAAAAGCAACCAAAGACATTTTTAAGGCAAAGAAGTGGAATGTTCTGCAATGGCCAAGTCATATCATCTGACCTGAATCCAATTGAGCATGCGTTTCTCTTGCTGAAGCCAAAACTGAGGGTAAAACACCCAAAACACAAGCAGGAAGTGCAGACGGCTGCAGTAAAGGGCTGGCAGAGCATCACCAGGGAAGAAACCCAGCATCTGATGATGCCTATGTGTCCAACACTTAAGGCAGTCATTGACTGTAAAGGATTTGCAACCAAGTATTAAAACTGACTGTTTAATTGATGATTATGTTAGTTTGTCCAAATACTTATGAACCCTTAAAGTTGGGGGACTGTGTGAAGAAATGGTTGTAATTCCTACACAGTTCATACTACATTTTTGAAAAAAGCCTTAAATGAAAGCTGAGAGTCTGCACTTTAAGCAGGTATTCATTGTTTCATTTAAAACCCATTGTGGTGGTGTACAGAGCCAAAATGACGACAACTGTATCATTGTCCAAATAATTATGGACCTGACTGTATAAGTACAGGCTGTAGAGGGACTGAAAATGCATTTTATTATTGCAGTCTATCAGGCTGCGCAGTGTAGGCTAAAAAATTGGCCGAAAAACAACAAATGAAAGTCTTCTGATGTCAGTAATACCCAGTTTATTGAGTTATAGTCCTGTCCTTATTTACAAACATTTCTGTTCTCATATCGAGATGTATGAATACATTTTTGTTCAGACACAGAAAGGCTGTACATGGGATTTATATCTTGTTTTCTGCAGGGACAGATGAGTAGGCACTGTTGATCAACTTGAATATGACAGCAGCGATAGTTGAACGTTTCCATGGCAACGAGTAAAACAGCTTGCAGTCTTTGCCCATCGCAGACTTTACGTGATGACGGCAAATACGTCACACTACATTCAACTGAAATCCGCGAGGGCTCAGTGTGCAAAACCCGAGGATGGACATCTAGATTTTGTTTTTAACCAGAAAGTACACAAGTCTTTTTCTTCTCTGTCTCTGTGCAGTGTTGTATTTTTTGGCACATTACTGCCACCTGTATGTCAGTAGAGTAATGTGAAACCATGATATATCTCGTCACCTGCTGCGTTCTCGTCCATGTGCATTAGAGGTCAAAAACTCTCCAGGGTACCTTCAACCTGCTCCACCAACAAATGTTTCAGGTTATACTGCTGACCAGTTGCTCTCAATCTTTTTGATTTGTGTCCTCTAAAACACAGCAACGTCTAGCTGTGTCTCCCTATCAAGCTCCAAATCAGTATGTATCAAGCTGATAATTTACCCTTATATGGCTGCTTAATTTAATTATTCTAATAAACCCAAAGCGATAAAACTCTCAGTATTTCACAAGAAAGTATGATGTATTTTTTCAGATGCCTGTTTTGTTTTCCACATGCTGCAGCGCCAGAGTCTCTTTGGGATCCAGATTGCTTACAGCAGCAGATAGTGTGCAAAGTGCTCTCTGCTGCGCATGTAGCTTTTGGTTTGATAGCATTGAAATGGTCTGAATTTTTATTCATCCAGCACAGACTCGCATCTTATTAAGCCAACATTTAACTTAAAAACTGATGGAAACAAAACCTGCATTTTGAAATGTGACCACTGGGTGGTGTGAGTGATGGCAGTGGTGTACACAACACCTGTGAACAGTTGCTTCAGTCTTGTAAATGAATGGGAAGGAGTTTCATCCACTTTGCATTTTAATTTTGTTCATAGAATTAATAAGTCCTTTTGGTTCAGAGGCATTTTTTTTTTGTCTAATCCTGCAGCTCGCTCTTTGGCGGCTACGTCCCTCGCTGACGACACGTCATCTCAGCACAGCTCGGACCTGTCAGACACAAGGACTGAACACTCTGATGAAGATGTAGGAGACAAAGCCCCCAAACGCAGCACCAGCGTCAAGACAACCAAGAAACCTGCTGCTGCTAAGACAGAGGTAGGGCCAATGAACACGCGCACACACACACACACACACACACAAAAGCACAAAGAGTGTGATAAGCCTCGAGAATGAAGGCTGATTCATTTGATGGCATGCAGTGCTGTATATTGTGACTTAAATTCTTAAGGAGCCTTAAGAATGTTAAAGCGTTAAAGAATTAAAGAGTGGCATTTTGAAGGAAATATTATAAGTTATGTAACATAAAATGACAAACGGATGAGCACAGCATTGCTTTGAATTTCAATGGCCGCTCCATGTTTATGTTTATTGCATTTAGGAAGGGACAGTGCACACTAATGAACATGATCACTTAAGTTGCATAAATGTACCAGATTTAGCCATACAGGCTAATTATTATCTGCAGTCCCTGGCAGGTTGATGGTGTAAGTGTGTATATGAAAGAGACATTAAAATGACAAAATACAAAAGCACAGATAAAAGCGGATTGATGTCATGTCCATAGCAGGGCACATGAGCACAGAGCAAGCATATAAGCAAAAACAAGACATAAGCACTATTAATAAAACAATGACAAAACCATATAACCGAAAACATTAAGAACGTACTATACTAAAGTACAACATAAAACACAACATAGACCAAAGCACATAGCCACAAACAAATACTCATAAGCACAAAGCAAGGACAACAGCGCCCTAGCACAATAAGCAGGACAGTGACATCACCATAAAACCAAAGCACATTAAGGAAAACGTACCATACAAAAGCACATAAGCGAAATGAGATTTTCCATGAATGTTGGGCCGTTTTGCTGGCCAGCTGCGAGCGTTCAGACACACAGAGGCGGATTGGCGAGTTGATTGGAGGTGCCCAATTTTCCGCCTCATAGGGTAGTCATATCGGCAGAACCCTTTTAGTTTAAACAGACCGAGGCGGCCTTCTGCAACGGGAGGGGCTGTTGATGACTTGTGGGAGGAGCTGTTGAAGACGCCGCATGTGCGACCCACTGGCGGTGGATAAACAGGAAACAGCTGATAGCAGGAATTAGCGAGCAGCTAGTAGCAAGAGGGAAACTGTAAAGACACTGTAAAGATGAGCGACTGGGGAGACAAGGAATTGCACACCCTCCTTGCCCTTGCAAATGAAGAGGCCATTAACCATCAGATGACGGGAACGGTGAAGGACGGACCGACTTACGAGAGAATTGCCGAAGGACTGACCAGCCGCGGTTTCCCTCCCACGTCACTGTTTACGTCACACACTGAGCTACACGTTTTGTTACTTACTCACGCCCCCCATTGCCTCGAAAAAGGCGCATTCTTTATAAACAGAAGTAGGTAGGCGGCATTTTGCCACACTCCCAGATTTAGTTTTTATACTGCCAATGCTGAAAAAAGACTGATTGGGCTTTCATGCATATTTGGACAACTCCTGTTTAAAAAGGGCTACTAATTGATGAACCCTTAAGGATTCTAACTGGGAGAAGTTTCAGCCAGTTGCAATCTGCAGTCCTCACCACTAGGTGGCACTAAATCCCCCTAAATCTTACACACTGTTCCTGGAAGGTTTCGGAACCCTGATGATGGTACCTCCACCTGAGGACATCAGTTATTTTCACACCTGAGAAAACTCCAAAGCCATAGAAGAGATGATACAACTCCTCATGACGAGTGAACAGGCCTTTAATGTGTGTTCACATAAAACTGCCCCCCCCCCCCCCCCCCCCCCCCATTTTCAATAACTCATTGTTGTCTTTTTCTTTTTCCCTCTGCTGTTTAATCACCCGTGTTAATTGCTCTGTCCCTCTCCTCCCTCATCAAGACTCAGACCAAGACAGTGAAGAAGCCCGCCAAGAAAAAGACCACGGCTAACAACGCAGAGACACCACCATGAGGCCTGCTGTCCACACCCACTGGCCTACACTCGCTCCACCCGCAGCCTGCAGGCCCTTCTTCCTCCGTTTGGTCTCCACACAAACACATATACACTGTACATAAATATCAAGTACTGAAATTGTGTCACTCTTGCTGGTTTTTAGAGCAAAGTGCAGGCTTTGGTTTTTAGCTGTGTGTGAGCACCCTTAGGTTGGGAACAGTTCTTTTACGTTTATTCGGTTGTTGCATATTTTGTCTCATGCTTCACTTACTGTGAGCTCATCCCTGATTTAACAGTCAGGGGATGTTTCTTTCGAGATTTTTTTTTTTTTTTTAGTCTGATAATGGTTAGTGACACATCCATGAATGCTCCTTTTTCCTTTAACCCTTAGACATATAGGTCTTTATAGTAGGTGAGGATGTAAGCTGGCCAGTTTTCTAGTCTCACTGATTCACCTCCTGTTGCTGACATTCTCAGTTGAGGCTGTTTTTGGTTGAAGTATCTCCAGTAAAATATCACATTCCTCACTCCTAGTTCTCTAGATTTGGGTCCCTTATGTGTCCTCTGGGCAAAAAAATCTCACCCTCTCGGACTCATCTGGGCCTGACCACGATGGTAGAAATATTCGTATGTTGTGTCCGGAGCACGGAGAGTTGGCTTTAAGTTGTGACTGAGGTTTTTTCCTTTTTACCGAGGAGTGAGAAGGTTGTTGAAATCAACTGTAAGCACTGACCGATAGATGTAGACATTTTCATTACAGTTTCAGACCGGATAGTTCCCACTTTTGACTGCAACTCATACTACCACCACCATGTCCTAGTTCATGCACCTCCCTAGTTTTACAGGATGATACAGGATGACTTCCCCTCTTTAAGTCTGTATACCTCTGAGTGAGTCTGGCTCTGCAAAGTTCAGGTCTCACTTACAGCAATTTTCCTCCTCACTGCTTTAATGTGACTTTCACTTCATGTACAGTACTGGTGATGGAGTGGTTTGTTTGATGTTGGCTAAGTTATCTGTCATCTAGACTTCACTCTCTTATTTAATGCGGTTTAATCCCGTTCTTTTGGTCATGTAATATTAGTAATAAGTATGATCAAGTTGTGCATAGCTTGGCTTCTTGAGGTAATGCTGTAACTCCCAATAAATACAGTAGTCATAGAGTCAAAGAGTTGCAGATGTTTGTGAGGTAACATATCTGCTTTCACCACAGTAGTGATGTCTGTGTATTGTTTGTGTTGAACATTAGAAAGTCATGGAGTAGCTCTGCACTTTTTCACTCCTTTAACCCAGCTGTGTGATGGCACTCTGCCTCTTTGTAGTGTTCATACATCTCAGAAGCCAGGATAAAGCAAAGCAATATGGAAATAATTAAACCAAAACCAACATCAGGAGACTGTGAGGAGTTATTTACTCATCCCCGCGCTGTTGTTCCAGACGTGGAGGAAGTGTCAGACCAGGCTCAGAGTGTTTCTGAACACATTGGACTTTTGTTCTGGGATGGGCTCTTCTGTTTGCCAGCCACCGCATCGGCCGTGGTTCCTTCGGAGCGCTCTAATGAGAGATTTAAAAGCATGAGACTACTTCCGCACTCATTACTGCCGTCTGCAGTGTGACACTAGTTTGAACCAGTAGGGGGAGACAAACCCCACCTCAAGTGATGGCAGAGTTACTAAACAATATGTAAACGCAATGTAAATAGTAACCTTGACTGTATATACGGTATGAGCTTGCTTGCCTTATTCATCCTCTGGGCTTAAATCCATTTGTTTTTTTTAAAATCATTTGTGTGCTTTTTAAAATTCTTAGTCTTGACAAAACTCATGTTCTGAAACTGGAAGAAGCTTGGACTTCACTGGTGTGGACGTCTGGTGTGAGAAGAAGTGATTTTTGCATTTTTAACATGTTTACTTTTTTCCCATTGTCTTTTCTTATTAATTTTAACTCCTCTCCATCACAAAGTACAGAATCTCCAGAATGTGTCTAAACTGATATTTGTACATTCACACCCTGCTATATACTTAACTCAGACTGGTTATATAGTATTTTAGGCCCAAAAGTTTGAATCAGCCAGTTTTATTTTTTTAATTTTCTTTCTTCTTAATTTAATGTTTGCACTGAATAAAAAGAGGGCACATAATGAAAGACGTTTTTACATATCAAGATACAACCCTGCATATTTATCTTGTGTTCATGCCATTTTTGGATATTTATTGTCTGTTATTCTCTCTGTTTTGAATCAGTATTGTATACAGGGATGTTCATTTGTATATTGTTTGTGCCAATTTTCAAAGCTACATGTCAAAAAGGATTACAGTGTGTGTGCTGGGACAATGGTATCTAACAAGGTCATGTATCAGTAATAAAACTACTAATAAAGGAAATCAAATCAGAGTGTTACTGCCTGTTGAACAGTTGAAACATCCCTTTGTGGCATTCAAGAGAAAAGAGGAACACCCCCATAGTATCTTGGTTATTCAGTGATTTGAAGGAAAAGAAAGGAATATGACATAATGTGGTATGTCATAAAAAAGTGTCACATTAAAGTACGTCAAGATATGTCATAGTATAGTGTGTCATAAAAAAATGCTTTAGTATTATATGTTATAAAATGTCATAGTTTAGTATGTCAATTGTCATACGACACTGTCATGAAAATTTTAAAATATAGTATGTCATAAAAAAATGTAGCATAGCATGAAAAAAAACATTGTCATGAAAAAATGCTATAGTATAGTATGTCAAAAAATGTCAGTATAATAACTCATAAAAATACAAAGTATTATAGGTCATAATTGTATTTACAAAAAAGGTCTGCATACTATGTCATAGTATAGTATGTAAAAAAAACTAAAAAAAAATAGTATGGTATGTCATAAACTACAGTATAATATATCAGAAAAAATGTCATAGTATAGTATGTTATGAAAAATGTCATAGTATCATACATTAAAAAAAAATTCCCAGTGTAGTATGTCAAAAAATATAGTATTCTAAATCATACAAAAAAAAATAGTATATAGTATGTCAAAAACAGTCATAAAAAAATGCCATAGTATGGTATGTCAAAAATACAATATAGTAGATTACAAAACATGCCATATTATAGTATGTTATAAAAAAAGCCGTAGTACAGTATCTCAAAAAATGTCATAGTATAGCATGTCGTCCAAAATTATGAAAAAAAGTCATAGTATAGTATGTCATCCAAAATTATGAAAAAAAGTCATAGTATAATATGTCGTCCAGAATTATGAAAAAAACTATAATATAGAATGTCGTCCAAAATCATGAAAAAACGTCATAGAAACATATGTTGTCCAAAATTATGAAAATAGTCATAGTATAGTATGTTATAAAAATGTCATAGTATCATACGTAAAAAAAAATTCCCAGTGTAGTATGTGAAAAAATATAGTATTCTGAATCATAAAAAAAATTATAGTATATAGTATGTCAAAAACAGTCATAAAAAATGCAATAGTATGGTATGTCAAAAATGCAGTATAGTAGATTACAAAAAATGACATATTATAGTATGATATAAAAAAAAGTCGTAGCACAGTATGTCAAAAAATGTCATAGTATTTAAATTAAAATTATGAAAAAAAACTATAATATAGAATATCGTCAAAAATCATGAAAAAACGTCATAGAAAAGTATGTTGTCCAAAATTATGAAAAAACGTCATAGTATACTGTGACTTTTTTTCATAATTTTGGACGACGTACTATACTATGACTTTTTTTCAGAATTTTGGACAACATACTATAGTGTGAATTTTTTTCATAATTTTGGACGACATGCTATACTATGACGTTTTTTCATAATTTTGGATGACATACTATAGTATGACTTTTTTTTCATAATTTTGGACGACATACTATAGTGTGACTTTTTTTCATAATTTTGGACGACATGCTATACTATGACGTTTTTTCATAATTTTGGATGACATACTATAGTATGACTTTTTTTTCATAATTTTGGACGACATACTATACTATGAAGTTTTTTTCATAATTTTGGACAACATACTCTGGTATGACTTCTTTTCATAATTTTGGACGACGTACTATAGTATGACTTTTTTTCATAATTTTGGACAACATACTATAGTATGACTTTTTTTCCATAATTTTGGATGACATACTATAGTATGACTTTTTTCATAATTTTGGATGACATACTATAGTATGACTTTTTTTCATAATTTTGGACAACATACTATAGTATGACTTTTTTTTCATAATTTTGGACGACATGGTATGCTATGACGTTTTTTCATAATTTTGGACGACATACTATAGTATGACTTTTTTCCATAATTTTGGATGATATACTATAGTATGACTTTTTTTTTCATAATTTTGGATGACATACTATAGTATGACTTTGTTTTTATAATTTTGGACGACATACTATACTATGACGTTTTTTTCATAATTTTGGACAACATACTATGGTATGACTTTTTTTCATAATTTTGGATGATATACTATAGTATGACTTTTTTTCATAATTTTGGATGACATACTATAGTATGACTTTGTTTTTATAATTTTGGACGACATACTATACTATGACGTTTTTTTCATAATTTTGGACGACATACTATAGTATAACTTTTCTTCATAATTTTGGACGACATGCTATACTATGACATTTTTTCATAATATTGGATGACATACTATAGTATGACTTTTTTTCATAATTTTGGATGACAAACTATAGTATGACTTTTTT